ATTATAAAAAATTGCATTTTCAATAGTTTTTTTTAATAGTTTTTTTTAACTTTAATGAAGTGAAACTTTTTTGATGTAGATTTTTAAAAATTCTGACAAAAAAAACAACTTGTAAATTAATAAAAAAAAGATTGCGTTGAAAACGTTTGTATCTTTTTAATGAAAATTTATTACAAAAATGTTGTCCTTATAATCCATGTAGCCATTCTGTTAATAAACAAAAATAACAAACATATATATTTTTAAATAATATAAGCAATATAATTCATTAAAAAAAAAAAATCATTTTATAAAGTTTCGAAAATTTTTGAATTATGGCCACTTTTTTGAGGTTCTGCACCACTGTGCATTAAGCCACTACCAAGTTAAAGTCAACACTCAGCTCACTTTGGGAAATGTACTATTTATATTCAATAAAATTATTTGCAATTTAAAAAATTTCAAAACTTTGTCATTTTCCTGGGAAAAACAAAACAAACAACATTTTCATGGCTTCATTTAAGTATTGCAAAATAGAACAGAACTTCACTTAAAATACTATTTTCGCGTCATAAATTGTTATAATAACAACAAGTTCGCCATTTTTAAATGTTTGCATTTTTTTTTGTTGGAAAAAGGATATTTTTTGCAATGTTTTAAGATATAAAATATTATATAAAATCTAATACGGATAAAGTATTTATATAAGCCATATATTTAGTTTCTTTTTCAGACTAAATTTAAATATTAAAAATGAATGCAAAATGTGAATCTGGGAAACCAACAAGAAAAAGAATACATAATATTATAACTAGACATGAAAGTGAAAGATATGCTGGGCAACCAAACAAACTACCTGTTAGTGACCTCCCAACATACAAACAGATTATTCAATATGCCTATAAGGTTTAAAAAGAAATGATTACAACTAAAAAAATTGATTCTGCTGCCATAGTTTTAAAAGTAAGTAAAAAAATTTTAAAAATTTGGAGAAAATTGAATCCAAATCTTCCATTAATAAAGAAGAAACCTCTAAGAAATAAGTTACAAAGAGCATTTCAAAAAGTAATTGCAGCTGAACGATCTAAAGCTTCAAAACATGAAAACTGTTTGTTGGTTGGAAAATAATCTTTCAAAGTTATTTGATATAACGTGCAGATGTGAACTTCCTCTTTTAAATTGTAATGACAGGTTTGAAGTTAGGTTTTCAAAAAGCCACAATATTAAACAATATGTTTGTTCAAACAAATTTGTGACTAAATTGTCAAGAAATTTTACAGTTGTACAGTTTTTTTATTTCTTCTCAAATTATGGGATTAATATTTTATTTTACATATTACTCTTTAGAAATGTTTGATGCAAGGGTTGCTCTAACAACCACTATGTATGTCTCTGTAAAGAAAGCAAACAGGTTACATTTTTTTTTTATTATTGTTTTTTATGCTTTTTATTATTTTAAATTCTATAAGCTTTAAATAGAGTTTTTTTAATTTAAGGTTCCAGTTCTAGAATAAGAGTATTTAAAGAATCAGAAAGCTAAGAAAGGGCCCTTTGGAACCTGGCAGATAGGCCAAATTGATAAGAAAGAGACAGCCAAGATCAAAAGAAAAAGAAGTAATGAGAAAATTAATTTAACAAGTGACACGGCACTTCATTCAGATGATGATTGTATCAGTGAAACTTATGATGTGGAAATAAATAACAATTATGATTATAAAAATCAGAATCGTGAATTTTTTTGCAAAACCACTGTGTAAAAAAAATTACACAGATTAAACTAACATTGCCAAAGCTGCTATCAGATTCTTAGTTAGTTTCGCTGCAATATCTGCCATAGCAACTGCTACCTATATAGGCTATCAAATTATAACTTAGAATGATAGATCACAAATTATCACTGAAAAAAAGATATTTGACACTAAAAAGCGTGTTTCAACCATGATTAGTGAAAAACACAGTTTAGAAGTTTTTCATTTGAAAGTCATTGGAGTAGATAGTAAAAAAGACAAAAAAACATTAGCACATATATTAGGATATGATCATTATGCAGAACCTATTATTAATAGAACAGTAAAGGATGAACATCACTTAACTTTTACTGCAGAAAGTGGACCTTTTACTAAGAAATATTTAACTCATATTGAAATAAAAAATGGAACAGGAATTACAATGGCAACCGAGACAATAAAAATAATCGAAAAATTCAACAGCATTAGTAGTTTAAAAGCCATTGTTCTTGATAATACTTCTGCTAATACTGGTGCAGATATTGGCTTAGTTGTGACATTAGAATGGTTTTTAAATCGACGAATCTATTTAATAGGATGTGCACTTCACCAAAAGTAGATGGTAAAAGTAACGATCCAAAGAAATAAAAGGGCCCTATTGGGCAAAAAACTTCTGCAGGTGATTTGCATGATTTACCAATAGTTGCTTTTGTTCCAATTCATTCAGAGATTGATTCCTATGTAAACTCTGATATTTTATCTGATCTTAGTACAGATCAACGTAAACTTTATGAATACTGCATTGGAATATCTAAAGGCTTTATATCTCCAAAATATTCAATGAAAAAACCAGGACCCGTTTACCATGACAGATGGTTAACTCTAGCTTTAAGAATAATGATGGTTTATACGAGAGTGAAGAATCCTACGGATGAGTTGTGTACAATTACAAAGTATGTAGTACAAGAATATTGCCCCATGTGGTTTGCCCATAAAAAGTATGGTCTTTATAAAGATGCTCCTAGACTTCTTCATAAGACAATAGAGCTTGTTAAAAATCAGGCAGACAATATACAACAAATTGTTTTTCAAAATCTTCAAGGAAATTCTTATTGCTGTCTTCAAGAAAACTTTTTATATTCTATGTTGCAAGATGATGAAAAAGATACAAGGGCTCAAGCTATTAAGTAAGTTTTGCACATGAGGCAATCAAGATAGGCAATCAAGTACATGAGGCAATCAAGCCTATACAGCACAAGCCTATACAGCACATGAGGCAATCAAGATGAGGCAATCAAGTAAATCCTGAAGTCAAACCAAAAATCAAAGCTAAATTAATTATGCCTATTAACGCGGATACATGGAGTAGTTTAGTTGATGTTTCTTTAATTAAGGCTGAACCTCAAACTTCTATCCTAGTTTCATCATTTGAATTAGAGAATGCTTTGCAAACTTCTGAAAAACCTATTCTTACGGATTTACCCAACAATTCCCAGTCAGTGGAAAGGTCCGTGAAGCTTGTATCAGAGGCATCAAAGATAGTTTATGGTCAAGTAAAGAGGCATAATTTTATTCTAACTAAAAACCGAAGCAGAGTAGAAAATAAATGTAATTCATCTAAAACTGATTACTTTATTCTTTTTTCTTGAGAAAATGTTTTGTTTTTTTTAAATTTAATTTTGTTCACATACCTAAGTCTGAGGGTATACTTGACTTGACTACTGTCAAGAATTATCTCCCTTCAACCCTTAACTTCGAAATCACCCTTGTGCAGAAAAACATGTTGAACAGGGTAATTTCAGAAATAAACAGGGACCAAGGCAGCCAGAACCAAAATTTTAAAAGAAAAAATTGTTTTAAAAAAGCTGGGGGGGGGGGTAACACTCTTGCCCCTCTGCCCCCTGTTCTTATTCCAGTGTTTAAGATTATATGGTAAATATTCATTCTATAATATTCAAATATTCTAATGGAAAGAATATTTATATCAAAGCGTGTACTAAAGTATAATAAATATTGAGAATGCCATAAAAATGATTAATTCATTGAAAACAAGGAAATACTTAGAAACTTCAAAACCATTTCCCAAAATTGCCTATAATCCAATCAGTCTGAAATTTTCAGGATTGTCTTAAAATCATATGCACAACAAATCCCAAAGTGAGCCAATATGATCTGAGAAAAAAAGTATATTTTGGTAGTGTCTTACTGTGCATTGGTTTAAACCAATCTAAAAAGTATCAATTAAAACCACACTAATTTTTTGTTGAAAATACTAAAACCAATTGGAATTGCTCTAGATATGTTGCAAAGAGATCAACAAAAATAAGTGACACTGTTGAAATTTTTAAAGAGCTGATAAACATGTTATCATTTTTATAAACTGAAAAAAAAATTGGATACTAGATATCTCCAGACAGTCAGTGATGCTCATTTCCTTGCAAACATGCTAGATCCTAGATATTTTGGATCTAATCTTTCTGAAAATGAAAATGAAGCTGCAATGACCTTGAGAGATAAAGAGTTTAAGAACTTGGTACCAATAATATTCAAGTTGAAAACCAAATCTGCTCCATTCAATAAAAGCTATTTGTATAGTGAGTCTGTTTTAAAAAATGTACTAACATTAGAATGGTGGAAATCTCTAAAATATTTGGACTGCAACATTATCACAGATATTGAAAAGTTGTTAAGCACACCAGCCTCTAGTGTTAGAATTGAAAGAATTTTTTCAACTTTTGGACTTGTTCATTTCAAGTTAAGAAACAAGATGGGAGTAAAGGTGGCAAAATTTGTTTTTATATACAGAACATTAAATAAAGATGTATTAATTGATGAATTACAGCAGTAATGTTAATAGAAAATATAATTTACTCAAGTAAAATGACTATTGCTTTTTTTTAATTGAAAAAGTTGACTAAAGATGGCTTTTTTTTTTTTTTTTAAAAAAAAAAAAAGGAGTTTAAACCAAAAAACAATGGTTTTTGATTTTTTTCATAAAAAATTGTTTTTTTGCAACCTTGGTTTCTTCAAAAAAAACTGTTGGTATTCTTTTAAGTGAAAAAATATGTTGAATCTAGGTTGAACACAAACAAGATACAGAAAACTGATGAATACAAATGTGAAAACAGTTTTACAAATAAGCATGAAAATGACCAAGACAAAGATAAAAACAAAATAAAAGATTTAGCATAACCACTGAAAGACATTTGCCAAAACAAATTTAAATAAAAACATATAAAAAAAAAGATTCAGCACATTATTAAAGTGATTACAGCACATTATTAAAGTGATTACCTTGTGATGTCCTGCTTCTGTAATAGCTTGCAAATCAAAGTATTGTCCTGTTTTATACTGCACACCTAGTATTAATAATTTTTCATAAAATTATTATAATTTAATTTAACTTTTATTAATTTTTTTAATTATGTATAACACATTTGATTTTGCAAAAGTGTTTATAATTTAATATTACAATAATTTCCTGAAAGAGTTATAATTTTAAAACTTGAAGTGTATGTTGTAGGTGGAAATCTTTTTAAAAATGTTTTCCACTAACATTCAGAATCAAACAATGTGATGTTTTCTCTACATAGAAAAATGTTTTTAGTGTTGTACCTCAAAGATGCTTGGACTGTTATTGTTTTTGATATTTATTTATGATTTGTCTGATTTCCTTGAAAGTATGACAAGCATTATGCTGATAATACAAAGATCTTATTGTCAGTCAAAAATAAGGAAAAAAATAAAGCTGAACCAGAAGAACATATTATTTCAAAAAAAAAAAAAAAAAAATGCTTTCTTTAATATTGACAAATATGATTGACAAATGTTGTATTAAAGAACAAAAAATTAAAATCTTTTTTTATTTAATAGATGGGAAAAAACTTAAAAAGTTTATTTTAAAAACAGATTTTTGGTCTTAAATGGAAATAACAGACTATAACATTTGTATCAAAGACAAATTTAAATTAGGTCAAATTAAAAAAAAAATTCAAATTTGGTTTTTTTATTATTAAAACAATTTTTTTTTTTCATTTAACTGAAACAACTTATTTTTAAAACAAACAATAATAGCAGGTTATTTTTAAAACAAACAATACGCAGGTATAAATCTGCGTTTACATTATAGTTTGTCAAAGTATAATCTTGAAAGCAATTCAATTTTGTATATTGTTTTTTTCATAATACTATGACTTATGGCTTTTAATGCAATACAAAACAAGATATTGCAAAACTTGTTTGTTTTTCATCTATCAGATATTTGGCGACAGTTAACCACAGCATTACATAAAATTAGTATTAGTGCAATTTAAAAACTGATTTAATTATTACTATTTTTTGTTGATACTAATTCACTCTCAACATTGTTTTGGTAACTATATTTTATTAATTTATAACCATAGCAACCAGCAATTACTATAACCCTGCATCAAAAGAAATTTTATTTTTAAATGCATTATAGTTCAAAAACTTACTGCTCTGTTACTGTATGTATTATAGTTTAAAATATGGTTCTCTGTTTTTTAATGTATTATAGTTCAAAATATAGTTCTCTGTTATTAAATGTATTATAGTTCCAAAATCTACTACAAAGTATGTCACATTTAAGACCTCATAAACTGAAAAAATTTTAGTAAGAATGTTTATCATAAATTGAAAGAATTTTAGTAACAAACCTATTGTTTGTAGTCAAGTTTTTTTGATTTTTGGCTATGTGGTTTCTAATTGTGTCTAATATACTTTTGAACTAGTTTTCAGTTTAAAACTGTGCAAGTTTAAAAGTAGTTTTTTAAAAAGTTTAGTTTAAAAGTTTTTAAACTTATATAAAAGTAGAACTGTATTTAAATAAATACTTCTAATCAATTTTTTTACTATTGATTTTACTTGATCAAATATTATACTAAACCCCCTGGTTTTTGCACATCAAAATAATATGAATCAGAATTCAGCACAAAAACTTGAAGAAAAAAATTGTTATAATGCCACAATCACAAGCTACCTGAAAAAGATAACCAAAAATAATAGTGTAGTGGTTGCTATAGAAACTTGATAGAAGCTCCTAAATGCAGTTTAAATGCATTTAAATACCATCACAATTTACAGCTAACGACTTTACTTATTTTGGTTTCTATAATTAGATTAATTAACAATTGAATGTAGTCAAATGAATCAATTAAATTAATTGTATTGCAGAAAAATAATTGCACTATTTTTAGTAATTTGTAAAATTTGTAGTAATTATAAAATTTAAATGAATTAAATAGATTTATACTTTTGTATATTTATATAAAGATAACTATTTACTATTGTGCTTAAAAGTAATTACAAAAAAATATACCTGAAAACAATATCAATGCAATGGAATCACCTTGTTCATGGATAAGTTGAAGTATATCTTCTGTTCGCAACAAGTACTCACCCTAAACATTACAAATCATTATAAAATCTAATAATATATTATGCATTTTGACTTAAAACTTGATTGTTTGATTTAAAAAGAAGAATATTTTGAACAATCAGCTAATGTAATAGGAGATTTCAACTTTTCTTTTAGACTTATAGTCTTTAACTTTTATATTTGTTTTTTATATATTTTTATCAGTTATTTATAGTTTATATTTGTTGATTTTAAGTGCAGAAAATGTACTTTAAGTAAATACAGAGCAATCTTCACTTCTAACAGGTTAGAAATAGAGATTTCTTTTAGAAGAGGTTAGAAGCGGGATGGAATAAATGATAAAGAAAATTATTATTATTGTTACACATGATTTGTATTTAACTCCATTTTCAACATCAAATAATTAAGTTTTTATATTTTATTATTTCCTTAAAAAAAAAATTAAATATAATATTTGATTTGGTTTAAAAATCCACACCTAAACTTTTTTTTAATTCTTTTGCTAAATAAAAATATAATAAAATAAATAAAATAAAAAATGATAAAGAACTTATTGAAAAATACTGGACGTAGACATTGGAAGTACTGCATGTAAAAGTATGTGTTTCTCTGTGCAATGCAAGTGCAAGTTTCAATGGGCAAATGGAGTTCATTGCGATTCAGTGCTATGCAAAAGTAGTTTATTAAAAATTATAATTCAAATTTAAAAGGTAAAAAAATTTAAAAAAAGCAACATAATCTTCTCAACTATCCTTGGGGAGATAAACAAGTAAAAAATGTTAGTGATATTTACCAAAAAATTGAAAGAGGTATTTTAATTTGTTTTTAAAACCTATATTATTTTTAAGATGATGGATGGTCAAAACCATCCATTATCTTAAAAATAATAAAAAAAGAGTTAAATTTTGTTAGGCTTTTCAATGCACAAAAGGTAATTGAAAAAAAAAATCTTTAATCAAAAACATACGTAGACTATCTCTAGGCTTGACTAATTAGCATACAAAGTCAAAAAATACTAAGAAAAAATCTTTGAAAAAACAACTGATTTTTGAAAAGTAAAGATTTTAGTACATCTATTATAAAAACTAAAAAAAATAAACTTGCAAAAATTGCAGTATTTTGTTGACAATACAGCAATTTTTGAAATAAATGCTTTATAGTTAGGCATTGACAAATTTTTTTGTTACAAAACTCATGTATAAATAAAATAAAAAAGGTTTTAACACAGTTTTTAAAAATTAAATTTTTAAAAAGTGTGTTTAAAAAAAAATGTGTTAATACAGATTGCAAAATTGTATTCATACTTTTTTAGTATTTTTATAATTAGTTTATAATAGTTTATATTTAATTTATAATAGTTTATATTTAGTTTATATATAGTATGAGTCTATAACTTGTTAAGATTAAACTTATTTTATACAAACTAATTATTATTAATAAAACTTTTCTACTTCTCGAGGTGCTGCTTGTAACATGGATGTCTTTGGATCATAACCATGGAAACATATTTGAGACTCAATTAGTGCCTAAATTATAAGTAGCATGAATAATATTTGAAAATTTTCAGCTAAAATACATTAATGTCATTTAAGCCTAGGTTATAAACACTATCACTATCTAAAAAATATTACCCAGCTTTATGTTATGCCAGTCATAAATACAACTTATAGTAACACTGACCACAGATTTGATTAAACTAACACTTTATTTTTAAAATATGTAATTTATACATTTAAAAATAACAAAATTTATAACAGTTTAGTGCAAAGATAAGAATAAATATATAGTTGAAAGTAATATCATTTAAAGTTAAAAATCACAAGATAGTAATTTCATAAATAAATAAAAAATTAAACTAATAATGACAAATAAAAAATGAGATTTGGGAAAATTAAAAGCCTTAAATCTTAAATTTCATCTTTTTTGTTTTTGCCTTTTTTTAATGCTTATGTTATATTTAAATTTTTCAAAAATTATTTTTAAATACTTAATAGAATTAAATCATAGAATTTAAATCTAATATTGGTTTGATTTTAGTGATGTACTTTTTTTAAGTCCATACATTAATTCAAAATCTTTTTCAATAAAAAATCAAAAGTGAATTTTATATATATATATATATATATATATATATATATATATATATATATATATATATATATATCAGGCCTTGTAATGAACTGGTAACATTTTTAGGAAATATAAAAGTAAAAAGACATATACATAGCGCAGTGGTTAGCACACTTGCCTCAGAAGTTAGAGCTCTGGGGCCATCTAAATATATATATATATATATATATATATATATATATATATATATATATAAAATATATATATATATATATATATATATATATATATATATATATATATATATATATATATATATATATATATATATATATACTCTTGCATGGTAGTGAAAAAGAGTTTCCCATAAACTGTAGTTTTAAAGAGCGCGTTAATAAACCAGACCAGAAAAAGTTTAAAAAATTAATTTTTTTTTTTTTTTCAAATGATAGACTGCCTGCCCAAACCAAACCCTCAGTCGATGTAGCAGCACTCCGTTGCGAGTCAGGCTATTTGTCAGTCGATGTAGCAGCACTCCGTTGCGAGTCAGGCTATAAAATAGTCGATGTATCAACATTTATGCATGTTTTAAAAATGTTTTTTAATAAAACAAAAACAAAAACACCACTAATAAAAAAAAACTTTCTAGTCGTTATAATTGCGGCTTTTTAAAAAAACAATAAAATTTAATGTACTTCCGCATAAATTTAATTGCTTTGACATTTCGACAACAATCAAAAACAGCTTAAGAGACGAGGTAATTAAAATTGTAGTCGAAAGAGACTTTTTTTACATTAAAACGCTCTTTCGACTACCTTTTATGGATATATATATATATATATATATATATATATATATATATATATTATATATATATATATATATGTTTTTTCTGTCTTGACAGACGTAACAAAAAATCCAATGCTTTAAAATAACAAATAAAACAACGCAATTAATGATTTAAGAAAAAAAATATAAATGATTATTAACAACCATGTATATTATGTTTAAAAAAATGCACTCAACCAGGGGTGTGGAGTTGTAAAAAAAAAGTACCAATTCCAACTCCGATTGTTGAAATTTTCAGAATACGACTTCAACCCCAACTCTAACTTCGTCTCCAAAGCAAAATTTTGAAAAATTCTTTAAATTTTTAAAAAAATATTACACGATAATTTAAAAAAAAATTCTTTGAAGTTTAAATATTTTTTACATGTACATGCAATACTGAGAAGTTTTACTGTTGGAGTGGAAGTCGCGTTTTTGTTTACCGACTCTGACCCCGCTACTAATGTCACTACTCTGACTCCACGACTCTGACTGCACAACCCTGACTCTAACAATATCAAAGTTCTCAATTATGGATATATGATACAATTTTTAACGCTATACAACAGGACAGTAAATAAGCATCAAAACATGTTTATACTACCCTTAGAACATTAAAACCATGCTATAATAAAACCACGCTATTAAAAAGTTATTCCAAAAAATCAATATGATTTTTTTTAAATAACTTTTGCTTAAAAGTATTTTTAAATAGTTTAAAAATTTAGTGTTTTCATGACTTTTTTTTCTTTTTTTTTTTTCTTTTCTTCTTTCTAACTGACGATATATGCAATGTAAAAACAATATTTATTTTGATAAATAAAAACCTATTTATGACAGTATTTCATAAAAAAAATATAATTTAACATACACGATCTGATGGAAAACAACCTTCTTCAAACAAAATTTTATGTCTTGATAATGTTGGTCTGTAAAATGGAACCTAAAAACAATTAGTTTAAGCAAAAAAAAAAAAATATATATATATATATATATATATATATATATATACATATATATATATATATATATATATATATATATATATATATATATATATATATATATATATATATATATATATATATATATATATATATATATATATATATATATATATATATATATATATATATATATATATATATATATATATATATATAGAAGAAACAATGCTTTTTCCAAAAATTTTACCAAAATATTTTTCAAAAGAAGAAGTTAAAATTATTAAACAATTTTATTTTAGATATGTCGATGATGGTTTTAACATATTACCAAAGTATATAGATATTGCTAAGTTCCAAATGTCCCTTACAGAACTACATGATTCAATAAATTTTACAATAGATTTTGGCATTGAATTCGAAGAAAACAAAAAAGTATATAGCACAGTTAATTTTTTAGACATTTCGGTTATCCTTGAAAACTAAAACGGATATTTTTTACAAAGAAACAAACACTCATGACTATTTAAACTTTAACAGTCATCATTCGTATCACATAAAAAAGAACATACCTTATAACCTAGCTAAAAGAATAATCGTTTTTACGTCTGATTATGCTACAGAAAAAGTACGTCTAACGGAACTTAAAATATGGTTAAAAGAGTGTCATTACCCTGATAATGTAATAAAAAAAATTTAAACTGTCAACCAATTTTAACTGAAGCTAACCTCTTACTTAGTTTATCTGATAATGAAAGATTTAAAAGTTTTTTCAAATATTCAACCAGTAACAGCATACAAACAACCACCAAACTTACTTAAACAAATTACGCGCTCAAAATTTCACTTTACGTCATCTGTCAAAAAAATGGGATTATTCAAATGCAAAAACAGTCGATGTAAAATCTGCCGATTATATTTACAAGAAGTAGATAAATTTGAGACATCCAATGGTACAATTTGGAACATTAAAAGTCACATTACATGTAATAGTAAAAATGTCATTTATTATCTAAAATGCTCATCATGTAATGGACTATCTACTTATACTGGAAAAACAAACAATTTAAGAAACCGCACAAATGGACATATTTCCAGTTGCAAAACTGGCAATTCAACAGATAGATTCCGCAATCATGTATATGATTGCAAGAAAGTACACAAAACAACTACGAAGCCATTTTTTCAGCTTTATGTTTTTCTCGAATTAAAAAATGAAAATAATTTATTGACCTATGAAAACTATCTGCATAAACAAAAACATGACACCTTCAACTAATACTTCCTTTTATGATAACATAACAATGGTAACTCATAGTTACAAAAACTGCTATTAACCCTTTCTGGCCGGTTGTGTAGAATTTTACACATACCGAGATCCACGCGCTGCTTTAATAGCAGTGGCGTTTAGAACGTTATGACCGGTTGTCGCGTATTGTACACATACCTAGGATGACGATAAAATCGTTGAACCAATGACGTTCTTACTTTGGATTCTTGGCTCGAGCTTTGTTTACAGGGATTTTGTGAGAAGGTCTACGGTGTTACTACGAGACGGAAGACCTGACTATTCCGAGTTATACAGGTTAGTTATAACCATGAAATGTTATGGATTTTATGTAGTAGTGGTGTCTTTGTATAGTAGTACCTTGAATTTGTAGCTGGATTGCAGGAATAAATTTTTATGTGGTGTTTTTTGTATGTGTGGAATTATACACAATCGGGCATAGCATTGAATATAACAGATACAAAATTGACACTCTTCAGCTTAGTATTGTGTGATATAACATGCTGGAATGACAGATTATTTGTTTATGATTTGTTATGGTGAAATATATTTATATTTTACCATGTTCATAATAGTGTTCAATTTTATTACTACTAGGAATAATAATTATAATACTAATAGTAGTAATAATAATAATAATTTATTACTAATATTATTATTATTATTGCTGGTAATACAAGCAGCTACAATAGTATCATAGCCATGTTTTAGTATAGTTATTATATATTTGTTTAGTGTTCTTATAGATACCAATTATATCTGCTATACTTTTATAGAGTGTCTGAGGTGCGACTTAGGGTTAGGCTAGAGTTAGTAATTAGGGCAAGTTTGGGCTATATTATGATTTGTAATATTATTACTATTATTATTTGTGATATAGTATTTGCTATAATGATTGTTCTGTTAGTAGTGATATTGATATTATTTTTGTATCTGTGCATATTTTATATTTTTTTTGTATTTTTTATTGCAAACATAGTGATATATAATACTAGATACCAATACTAATCATAGCATAAATTGTATTCTGATTTTAGATGAAGCCTGTTCAGTTCTACAAGAAGACTGCTACAACAGCTCGTTTTGTTCGTAACATTCCTGCAGAAAGTGATGATGATGAGCTCTCGTCGAGTGACAATGAAGTTGCTGAAGTATCATCTGGTGACGATACAGAAGAATACGAAGTATCTGACCAGCAAGACAGCAGCGATGATGAGCAGCCTTCCACTTCTGCTGCTGTTGGAAGATCTACTGTTTGGAAATGTGTTACTGGCCAATCATCTGCAAAGTCAATGCCAGAGTCTGCTGATCAACGTGCTTCTGCTGATACCATAAAGTCGCCAGTGGAGTACTTTCGTTACTTCTTTGACAGTGGGTTGGTGGAACACATTACTGATCACACCAATCTGTATGCAACACAAAAAGATGTAAATAAGCCTATTGGTTGTTCCAAGGATGAAATTGAACAGTTTCTTGGTATGACTATGTACATGTCTATTTTTAATCTGCCAAGAAGTAAGATGTACTGGGGCAAAGCATCGCGTTTGTCACAGGTTGCAGATGTGATGTCACGTGACAGGTGGGTTGAACTGAAAAGTAATCTTCACTTCAACGACAATGGAAATATGCTCGCTCCAGATGACGTTCAGAGAGATAAATTGTTCAAAATACGTCCGTTGATTGACTCTCTCTTGCCAAAGTTCCATTCACTGGAAGTTGACCATAAGTTGTCAGTGGATGAACAAATTATCCCATTCAAGGGACAGTCGGGAATGAAACAGTACATTCCGAGCAAGCCCTACAAATGGGGCTATAAAGTGTTTATGCTGTGTGATGTGACTGGAATTGTGCATAATTTCATAATATACACTGGAAAGATTCAGGCAGCATCCAATCAAGCAAACATTGGTGCCAGTGGCAACATTGTGCTTCAGCTGGTCGAGGTCTTGCCGCAAGAGAAGCAGTACCTGTTGTTTTTTGACAATTGGTTTACGTCACTGAAGTTGCTGTCAGCCCTAGCTAATAGGAACATATTAGCAGTTGGGACAGTTCGTGCGAATCGTCTTCAGAATTGCAAGATGATTGCTGATGCAACTCTGAAGAAGAAAGGGCGTGGCTCATTTGAAGAAAGAGAGGGTGTGGTCAATGGTGTCGAAGTTCGAGTTGTCAAGTGGTTTGACAACAAGTCTGTAACACTAGCCAGTACATTTGCTAGTGCAGAACCAGTGTCAACTGCGAGGCGGTGGGATCGTACTACAAAGCAGCATATTGACGTGCCACGCCCAGAAATCATACAGATCTACAACAAGTTCATGGGAGGAGTTGATACCCTGGATGCCATCATGGCGAGGTATCGGATCCACATGAAATCAAAGAAATATTACCACCGCTTTTTTTTCCATTTTGTGGACTTGGCAGTGGCAACTGGCTGGTTACTGTATCGCCGGGATTGTCGTGATATGGGAGTTGATAAGCGTCAGCAGAAGGATCTTATGGCCTTCAAGCTTGAAATAGCTGATGCTCTTTGTCGTGAAGGCAAAGACATGACAGCAAAGAAGCGTGGCAGACCATCAACCAGTATGGAGGCAGAGCTGCAGCGCAAGAAGAAGAGGGGACCTGCTAAGCCTGTGCCAACTCAGGATGTTCGCACAGACTCTGTTGGTCACTGGCCGGCACATGGTGTGAGGCAGAGGTGCAAGCGTCCAGGGTGCAAAGGACAAACTGTTTTTGTATGCACTAAGTGCAATGCAAATCTTTGCCTTTCAAAGAAGAGTAACTGTTTTCGCCAGTTTCACGAATAACTGTTGATAACTGTGTTATTGTACCTTGTCTTATACGGCCGTTGTGGCCTGTTGTGTACAATACGCGACATAGCTATCTTTTGCTGTATGAAATGTTTTATATAATTTTTTCTGTCTGGGTTTGATTTTTGACTTATAATAGGTGTGTTTTCAAGAAAAAATTTTTTTTAAAATTACATTTGCATAATTCAGGCCAGAAAGGGTTAAATACTTCTATTATACAACTTTTTACATAAATCAAAATCATGATAATTACATTTGCAATAATACTACTGATGATCAATACTGAAAGGCCTCTAGTACTATTTAATATTTTCTTAGTAGTATTTTAATATAAAAAATTGATTCATTTTTTGAATATTGTTGTTTTGCTTGGCTTCTTTTTCCTTCATATTGTTTTAAATAAATTACTTGCTATATATATATATATATATATATATATATATAATATATATATATATATATATATATATATATATATATATATATATATATATATATATATATATATATATATATATATATATATATATATATATATATATATATATATATATATTTATATATTGTGTTAATACTTAACATTTATTTTCTTACTATATTCTAATAAAAAATCACCATAAGTAAGTGTAAATTTGTAGTTAATGAATCCATTGAAACAACTTCAATAGGTTTTGCGCCAACCAATGATGCTGTTTGATCAATAACAAAAGCATCGATATGCTCCCATGGTCTCTTCCCATAGTGATGACCTTGTACACCACTATACCAAGAAGAATTAAAAATACAATGTAAAGTTAAGTATATTTTCTTTAAACATAAGAATATTAACAAGCACTTTGTTTATTAGTTATTAGATGCCACAAGAAAATTGGTAGCAATAACACAGGGTTGCCACTAAAATTTTAAAATTTTTTGCCTGAGTAAACAATGTTCTCTGAGTTTAGCTTTTTAAATTCCCCGAGAAAAATAAAAGCATAAAACTAATATATTTTTACCTTAGAAGCATCTCAAATAATAGCTCAAACTTAATTTATAAGCATTTCAATTAATAGTTTAAAGCTAATAATTTTTTCTATATTCCTACGTTGATGTAGCGCTTAAGTTGATTAAGTGTCATTTATGAGGAGCATATCAGCATTAGTTTAAATCCTACTAATAAATAATTTTTTTTTTTTATGTTTTTTTTTTTAATGTTTGCTTTGAAGACATAAGAAAGTATCAGATTTTTAAATGATTAAGTTTAGAAGCTTGGGTTAAATAACTTTTTATTTATAAAATTGACTTAGACTGAAAACAAATAACATTGAAACTTCGATTTTTTCAAAATTCTTTGTAGTGAAACACTTGAATTAAAATAAAAAAATATATTAATTTAATGTTTTAATTTTTATTTTATCATTCATTAAGCTTTTTATTTTTTTAGTTAAGTTTTAATTTTTTTTTTCAAGCATTATTTTCTCTTTAAATTTATTTGCTCTGTTAAACTGATTTGGTACTATTATCTAGCTAACTTGACTGATAACATTTATGCATTTGTGATATTTATAGTGTCAGCTTAGATGTTTAAAGAATTTATATGATTTTTTATAATGCAATGGGAGAGCATTGAGTTTGACTGGATATTTTTATTTAGAATTGTTTTGTTTATGCCGAAACCTCTTTTTACCAAAGCTTGACCATGACTAACAGTTAAAATCATTTTGATTATATAAGAAAGTTCCTAATGTTTTTTAATGTTTATATCCAGTTGATGAAAATAGAACTTATCTAAACGAGTGGTTTTTTTTATTAAAGCTAAGAAACTTTTCTATATTTTCAATTATTTTCTATATTTTCGAGTCATTTCTTACATTATCATTCTGTGTCATTTTGAAGATATATACTTTGTTCTTCTATTTGTCATTGCATTCTGAGCTTAAATAATCAGTGACATCATTTTCTGAGGTATAAGATATATGTAGACCTTTTTTTCCTGAGGATTTTTTTTTGGCAGATCTTTCAGCAGCCTTTTTAAAGCTAATATCAGTAACACCTAGATAACCTTGTCTTTTTTCCTTTTGCATTTTCAAAAACATAATGTCCCTTCATTTGGTTTCTTTTGTACTTTTTTTATACATTGTTATTTCATCAATCATAATTTTTATCTCATGACCCAACCAAAATACCTTTTTAGATTCTATTAAAAAAGTCTTTCTATCCTTGATTGGTTCTGGTGTCAATCTGTTTTTAAGGGATTGTAGTGTTGTGTTTTGATTATTTACTTTGTTTATTTTAGAGTAGAAAAACTTAAAAGAATTAAAATATTGTTGTTCTTTATACAAGTGTTTCAATTTTCTACTCTTATCAAAATAAAATATGGATAGAGCTCTAAGACCGTTTCGCTTGGATATATTACTAAACTCACCTTTGGCAACAAAATTATTTAAACATTGGCTCAGAACATATGAATATTATCTTGATGAACTCCCTCAATAACTCAATAAGTTAAAAATCCTGACTAATTTCGTTGTGCCCGATGTTTATGAAATAATAAGCGAATGTTCAAATTATGAAGCAGCAATACAAGCTTTACAATCTGTGTAAATCAAACCATCAAATGAGGTTTATGCACAACACCTCTTGGCAACTCGTAAGCAACAGCCAGGAGAAAGTTTTGATGAGTATTTACACGCTCTTAAAGTTTTAGCAAAAGAATGTAACTTTAAACAGGTGTCTGCTATTGAATATCGCGATGAATATATTAGAGATGCATTTATAACAGGGATAAATTCACAGGTTGTCAGACAACGACTACTAAAAAACAGTACAATAAGTCTGGATGAAATATTTTCAAAAGCTAGAACCTTGGAATCAGCGTAGAAAAATGCTGAAAATTACCTATAGTATAATACATCAGATACAACAGTAGCTGCAATAACAAAAAAGCCAAAGCAATTTAACTCAAATTCTGTTTCAAATTGCTGGAACTGTGGGAATCAAAGACATGCTAAAGCTGGCTGTCCTGCTAGAAAGTCGATTTGTTTTAAATGTGGTCATTTTGCCAAGTTATGTAAATCTTCTAAACTTACAACAGCAGGGATGAATCTTGTTGATCAACCTTTGAACTCACACAATCCTTCACTCACTCGACTAGACTACCCTGAACATAAAAATAATTTAAAGAACATTTCTTCTTCCATTACAGCTTTGACTAAATCAACAATTGACATGTTGGTTAATGGTTTATTTGTAAATGCTCTCATTGACAGTGGTAGCACTGATAGTTTTATTCACCCTCGATTGGTACAAAAACTAAACCTAACAGTTCATAGACAAAACCAAAAACAGGTATCTATGGCTTCATCATCTTTTTCTAGTACAATTTGTAGAGTAGTTTTTGTCAATATTTCAATAAAAAATGAGCATTATAAACTAGTAAAACTTAACATCTTAAATGAGTTATGCATGGATGTTATTCTGGGTCTCGATTTTCAAAAACAACACAAAGCTGTAACCTTTAAGTTTGAAGGAAAAAGACCCCACCATTAATTTGTGGTTTGTCGAAGTTGAATGTATCTCCTAGTTTATTTGGCAATTTATCGCCTAACTGTAAACCAATAGCTTCAAAATCTCGTCGATATAGCAAAGAAGATCAATTATTCATTGGAATGGAAGTACAACGTATGCTTAAAGAGGACATTATCGAACATGCAAATTCTCCCTGGAGAGCTCAGGTAGTTGTAACTAAAGGAGAACGCTCTAAAAAAAGATTAGTTATTGACTACAATCAAACAATAAATAAGTATACTCAACTAGATGCTTACCCATTACCAAGGATTGATGATCTAGTAAACAAAATTGCTCAATACAAAATATTTAGTACAGTTGATTTAAAATCAGCCTACCATCAAATTCCAATTACCAAAAATGATAGAAAATTTACAGCTTTTGAAGCAAATGGGATGTTGTTCCAATTTTAGCGAATGCCTTTTGGAATTGAAAATGGCGTTGCTTGTTTTCAACGTACCATAAACGAATTTATAGAAAAAGAAGGACTTTTAGATACTTATGCTTATCTAGATAATGTGACAATATGTGTCACATTATCTAGATAAGCATAAGTATCTAAAAGTAATATAAATCTTACTTATAATCATGATAAATGTAGCTTTTCCCAAGATAAAATTTGCATTCTTGGTTATCTTATAGAAGGAAAGCTCAAACCAGATCCTAGTTGACTTCAACCTATGAAAGAAATGCCTCCTCCTCATGATGCTAAATCCATGAAGCGTATCATCGGACTATTTTCATACTACTCTAAATGGATTCCAAACTTTTCCGATAAGATAGCTTCTCTTACCAAAAACACCAAGTACCCATTAGATCATCAGTGTGTAAATGATTTCAATCAACTTAAACAAGACATTTCAAATGCTGTAACAGATTATGTAGACAAAAATGTTCCATTTGAAGTAGAAACGGACGCATCTGACATTGCTATAGCTGCAGTTCTTAATCAAAATGGCCACCCTGTAGCTTTCTTTTCAAGATTACTTCAAAAATCTGAACTCAAACATCCCTCTATTGAGAAAGAAGCTTGCGCAATAATAGAAGCAGTCAGGCATTGGAAACACTACCTTACTGGATGCCATTTTAAACTTATTACCGATCAGCAACCTGTGTCCTATATCTTCGAAAAGCAACATAAATCAAAGATTAAAAATGATAAAATTTATCGATGGAAAATTGAACTATAGTGCTATAACTATGACATTGTTTACAGGGAAGGGAAACTAAATATTCCAGCTGACACATTATCTAGAATACATTGCTCAGCAATAAACACTAACAACTTAATTCAGCTTCATCAATCACTCTGTCATCCTGGAGTAACTAGGTTTTATGCTTTTATTAAAAACCATAATTTACATTTCTCAATTGATGATGCAAAACGAATAACTAATCAGTGCAAACTATGTTGTGAATGTAAGCCTAGATACTACAAACCACTAAAATCTAATTTGATAAAGGCAACACAACCACTGGAACATTTGAACTTAGATTTTAAAGGACCTCTTCCTTCGGAAACTAATAACAAGTATTTTTTAACCATAATTGATGAGTATTCTCGTTTTCCTTTTGCAATCCCGTGCCCTGATATTTCAGCTCAGACTGTAATTAAGTGTTTGTCACAAGTATTCTCGGTTTTTGGTTTGCCAAGTTACATCCATTACGATAGAGGTTCAGCCTTCATCAGTAAAGAATTAAAACAATACTTACTAGAGAAAGGTATTGCAACAAGTCATACTACAGCATATAATCCACAAGGTAATGGACAAGCCGAAAAGTATAATGGAACCATAATGAAGTCTATTGAGATTGCTACTAGACAACACAACTTACCCATCAAAGCTTGGCAAAAAGTATTGCCAGACGTTCTCCATTCTATAAGATCCTTAGTAAATACTAAAACAATGGAGGCACCTCATGAAAGAATGTTTAAGCACCTTCGTAAAACAGCCTCTGGATGCACTTTACCTTCATGGTTAATCCTGGACCAATACTAATGAAAAGACATTTATGTAATAATAAGTATGAACCACTGGTAGACGAAGTGCAACTCATAGATGCTAATCCTCAATATGCTCACATAAAGTATCCAGATGGAAGAGAAACCACAGTTTCCCTAAGACACTTAGCTCCAACAAGTTCTGCTCCGATCATTGATCAAACAAATCATATTGAACCTTCACCAGAGAATGCCTTTAATAATGTTGAACCTTCACCAGAGAATGCTTTTAATAAATCTTCTTACCCCTATAAACCATTAACACATGAGAAATATAGACTTACCAATACCAATCCTCCACTAACTGAAAATCTTGTCAATGATGCTTGTCCGATCAATCCGTTGTTATTAAACACCTGGAAAATACACACTTAGATCCTCAAGAGTAATTTGTCGACCATTACGACTTATAGAAGAAGATACATGAAGAACCTTGTTTATATTATAGTATATTCTGTTTATATTATGGCTGCAGAGAATGTTGTGTTTTGATTATTTACTTTGTTTTTTTTAGAGTAGAAAAACTTATAAGAATTAAAATATTGTTGTTCTTTATACAAGAGTTTCATGTAGCTTTTTATATTTCGTTATTAGAGCCTCAACTTCTTTCCTAAAATTAATATTAATTAGATAACTATTTAATTTATTTATATTAGGACATGATAAATAATAATAACCGTAAAACACATTGTATGCTACGAGTTCTCCTCCAAGTTCTTCTTAGATATAAGAAGAACTTGAAGGATTTTTCCTTGTAAATTTTAAATTTTTTTCCTTCAGCTTAGATATAATGCAACTTAGATATATTTCAACTTCAGCTTAGATTTAATACAGCATTTCTTTAGGTTAGATATAATGTAGCAACTTCTAGACAATTTGGTGTAAATGTAGAACTATTTGGACAACAAACTAAGTTTTTGAGAAAATGGTTTCAACTCTCTTAGGTAAAGACAATACTGGATTATTTTTTTTAAAGTTGAAAACTGAATAGATGATAGTGTCTTCCTAGTTTTTTTAACTAAGATTATTTCTTTGACTCGAATTCTTGTTTTTCCACAAATCTTTGACTTTTTATTTTACATTTTATTTCATGTAAATGAACTAAACATAATTTTAGTTATCTTTTTAATTTCTAGAAACATACTTTATTGAATATTATGCATACGCTGATTTTCCAATAAATTTTTCTAAAACAGGGGGGGGGGGGGGAGTTTCCATAAAGGGGGTACTGTCACCCAAATTTTTTCCTAGAATAGCCACTGTATGTATGTATGTATGTATATATGTATATATATATATATATATATATATATATATATATATATATATATATATATATATATATATATATATATATATATATATATATATATATATATATATATATATATATATATATATATAAACACATATATACATACATACTCCCTTTAACTTTTTTTAAATTGAAAAAAAAAATCTTTTATATAAAGTAAAGGCCTGCACACCTTATAAGCTTCCACTTTAGTTTTTTAAAAAATTTCACCTTGTTCTGAACCACACTAATATACAAATATATATATATATATATATATATATATATATATATATATATATATATATATATATTATATATATATATATATATATATATATATATATATATATATATATATATATATATTTGTATATTAGTGTGGTTCAGAACAAGGTGAAATTTTTTTAAAAACTAAAGTGGAAGCTTATAAGGTGTGCAGACCTTTACTTTATATATAAGATTTTTTTTATATATATAAATTAGTAGAAAATCACTTAGCAAAATTTTTTCTCATTTAACACTGTGTTTCATCAATAAAGACTCATCAGAAAAAAAAAAAAAAAAAAAAAAATATATATATATATATATATATATATATATATATATATATATATATATATATATATATATATATATATATATATATATATATATATATATATATATATGTATATGTATATTATATATATATATATATATATATATATATATGTATATATATATATATATGTATATATGTATATATATATATATATATATATATATATATATATATATATATATATATATATATATATTATAAATACCAACCATTTAAAGTTTAAGTATATGATATGGTTTACTTTTGAGACAATTTATAATCTTGATTTAAGCTTTCAACAAATGGAACAAATAATTGGTGATTAACAAGACACATCGACATATTTGCTTTAAGCATGAAATTGCAAAGGTTTACATTAAAAAAGGCAAGAATCTGTAACTGAGAAATTGCATGAGCAACTTTTCAGTTATAGATTCTTGCCATTAATTATGCTGTTGACATCTGCTTCCATTTCTTCATTATCTCACAATTCTTAATTGTGAAGCACTAATACTAGCCTTTTGATATTGGTCCAAATATTTTATGGACAGATTTTAAATGCTAAGTTATGTTGCTTTTTGCATTGCCAGACCATTTTATTTTCCATTTACTATTTTTTTCAAAAAATAGTTTTTGTTTACTTTCAGCCACGTTTGTCTCAGTAAATTTGAAAAATCAGGCTTGTTTTTTCAAATTTACTGTGATTTTAAAATTTACTTGTAATTTTTCAAACTCATTTACACTGCATGAAAGACCCCTGTTCCATTCAGAGATGCACTGATATACAATGAAGTGCTTCCCACATCTCAAAATTTTATAACGAATTGAATTTGTGGTAGTCCCTAGTTTCAAGAGGTAAAAAAAGCTATGTATATCATCAGTAATATTTATTGGTTTAAAGTAAATTTGACAAAATAACAGTAAAAAACAATTTACCATTCTTGCCATTTTGTAATTTCTTCATCAATTATTGATCTCAAGCTTTTCGGACAAAGTCCTAGAGAATTTCCACATAAGTAAATGCATTCATCTTCACCATTAATAATGTTTAAATCGACTGAGATTGAGAAAAAAAAAAGATTGTCTGCAACATTAATTATAGAAAACTGCTTGTAATAGGAAATTGTTCAAGTTCATAATATATTATATTAAATAAATTTTACTGGTAAAAATTTAATTTTGACATTTTGACAATTTTAAAATTTAAACTTTTTGATTTAATATTACACATGAATGATTTTACCTCCGTGCAGTGTTTTGTTTTTGGGATAATGGAATTCTTGTCTAATGTATTTTAACTCATCAATATTTTGAAGATATTCAGCAAATTGTTGCGTTTCAATTAGAAATCCACTTTCCTGAGACATTTTGCGAAAATACTCTTGAGGTAGTAAATAATCGTTCGCAGACATTTTTGGAACGCTACAACTCTGAAGTTCTGTTTTTAACTATTTTAACGAAAAAGAAATTTTAGCGAACCTTAATATAGTATGGAATTATTTTATAAGTGCGAAAGTTTATATAACTGTGCTATAAAGCACTAAAAATTTTGATGTGGTCGTAAATCGCGTCAAAGTTGTTCCCATTTATTCGGCATTTGCACGACGCATCGAGGTAATTTGAATTGATTACAGAATTCAGACGTCAATTTTTAATTGTTAACATAATTTTCAACTTGTAGGAATATTCCATTAACTACCATTTGTATAATAATAAATGTAGTCATGATAGCAATAGCCATATCCATGATGTCGTTCGATGTTTACACGCTGATGCATATTTTGTATCTGTTAAATGCAAAAGAAAAATTAATTAAAAAGCAATGTTCGTTTTATTTGGCTTGTCAATGATATAAAATTATTTTTATTAATATGTTATTGCTTACAAATCAAGTAAAAATAAAATGACAGTCAATTAAGTGACAATGCATTAGTTGTATTTAAAACTGCAATATATGTGCATTACAAAACTACATTAATTAAATTTGAAAAATAACTTGATTGTAAAACATACAGTAAACTTTTCACTGTTTCACTTAAATGTACTAGGCTAAGTAAATTTCATTGGTTAGGCAGCACACAGGCAAAATTTGAAACTATACTGGGACCTATTAGTCAGCAAGTATTTTTTGCAATAGACAGTTGTTGCATATATAACTAGTAATTATTGTGACTTGTAGATAACTAGTTATTGTGAGCAAAACTAGCTATGATGGATAACTCTTTGTATATTATACTTAGCTATCATATATTCAAATATATAAATCTAAAGGGTGATTAAGTTGTAACCGTTCAAAATAAAATAATTTAATTTCGATAACTTAGAAATAACTAAATTAAATAATATTTAATACCATGAAAAATTTTAATTTCAAAATCAAAGTATTTGTCAGTGTAACTTGATGTATTATCTTATATCTGCGAACAACTTAAGGAAAAGCTTACATGGTAAGTTTTTCTTTCTATCAACAATTAATAAAGCTATATTTAATACTTCTAAGACTGTAGGATTTAAACATAATAGTGCACTATATTATATATATATATATATATATATATATATATATATATATATATATATATATATATATATATATATATATATATATATATATATATATATATATATATATATATGTATATATATATATATATATATATATATATATATATATATATATATATATATATATATATATATATATATATATATATATATATATTTATATATATGTTTAAATCCTACAGTCTAAGAATTGGTATTTAATTTAAACTTTTACACTTTTATCTGCTGTCGTTTTTTGCTGAATTTATGTATATATTATGTCTCTGTTGATTCTTTTATTTGGCATAAGATTTGGTGACTTATATTTACTTAATACTTCCTAACTATGATTATATAATTGTTGATTGTTAAATGTGGTGCCATCAGACAAATTTATATAACTGATTTACAATATTTTTGTGACAAATAAAACCAATTTGTTTGTATTATGTTATATAAGTCATTGGAAATGACTTTGATTTACTTGATACTTCCCAACTATGATTATAAAATTGTTGATTGTGAAACGTGGTGTTATCAGACCAATTTATATTACTGATTTATAATATCTTTGTGACAAATAAAACTATTTTGTATGCAGGTGCATGTTGAACGATTGGATAAATACTGATGTTTGGGTGTTGTTAATTTTATTGCCATCAGATAATTATGTGCAAGTTGAATATTGACAAGTAGGTATGTGCAACTTTCTGAACTCGTTCTCTTCTAGTTGAGATTAGAATTAAAACCAGTAGTAGAAAAATTTAAACTCATTGCTTGCAGATTTATTATTATTTGAAATATTTTTGTTATTTTTATAAAAAAGGTACAACGTCATGTGAAAACTTTTAACTTTGCAGTAGTTATGCTTCTTGTTATTATAAGAAAATAGTATCTTACTGATACTATGTTTGCTCGAAGCCCAATTCATTTTATTGCTTTAAAAATTCTGGTGAAGTTAAAATATTAGTAGAGATATCTTAGGTTCATTTTAGATTTTTGCTTTATTTTCATATTCCACAATGTTTTTTGGTTACGCAAGATAGAACAGTTAGAATAAATTTTCTTCACACAAAAATCTTCCTTTCCATATAATCGTTCCATTACTCTTTCTGTGTTTTCTGCATGATAAAAATACAAAGTATAATTTTACTAAGTATATATTTACATTTACAATTACAGAGTATTACTTAACAAAGTAGTATATATTTACCGAGTGTAATTTGATAATCGTGTCCAAATATTCCTATATAAAAATATAAAAAATTTAAGCATTAGATACTTGAAGAGCTCCTCTATTAGTTTGCCAATCGCGCGGTTTTTAAATTTTTTCATAAATTATAATAAAATAAAATTAGGAATCGTCCATAAATTACGCAACGCAAAATTTAACTAACAGACAAAACAAAAAAGATCAGAAGTTTTCCTTTGCAGAGTTTTTAATTAAACTAAAAATAAAAATAATCCTTTATGTTCAGTAAAAATCACCACGCAAAAGAGCAAATTAAATAAAAAATACTTCTATTTTTTAAATAAGTTTAGTATTGCGTAACTTATGGACGACCCAATTTTTAAGTTATATGTAATAGGGTACCGTTTTACTTTCGTCACGCATATGTTAAAAAAATTAAAACAAAGGATTCTGGGATCGAAATGCGGACAAAACTCAAAAATGTATTCATAGTCATAAGAATACATCTGGAATGAATATTTAGTCATAAGAATACATTTGAAAGCACGGACCATTTTGTTTGTATTATTTTTCTATTGTTTTTTGATTTTAACTTGAAAACTGCGCGACGACCAGGCAAACCTGCACAACAAAACATGCTTTTAATATAAACATTAATTTGGAATGTTTGTTTGATATGCTTAAAGGATTTTATTTAAAACAAAGACATAAACTTAGCTACAGATAAGGTTTCTTTGTTTCTAAAGTAAATAATTATGTCGAACAACATGCTTATTATATGTAGCGTCTTAAGTAAACAAGACTTTGCATCAATTCCAAAAAATTCTGTCAAGTGTTCTTTAAACATTTATAGGAGAAAGAATTTTATTAATAAAATGTTACTGCTAAAAGTGTAAAAAATAAATAAAAGATTGCAAATTTATTAAAAATATGCATGTATCTGCTATTTGATATAAGAAAGCAGTTCTTGAAAAAAATCTTGTGCAAGAAGTTTAATTCATCAATGAATGGTGTTGAACATCTTTAGAAAAAAATAAATTTAATAATAAAAAAATTTAAATTCAGTAGTGATTTATTTTATTAGGAGTATTATGAACTGTTGATCAAAAATTTACTAGCTTCACATTTCAGCACACTTCAACTTTAAGTAGTACATTACTCACTGAAGTCTCTTCTGTTATCTTGAACAATCTTTACAATATCTTAATGAATATTTTTTTAGAGATTGCTAACAGTTTGCTTCAATTATACTGCACTGCAGGGAGTATGAAAGATGATGCTCGGACTTTTGTTAATTCTATATATAAGAAGTATTGTGGAATAAGAACAATTTTAAAAATTATATTGTACTTTCTCTTTATAAACAAGTTTGCAATGATTCAGAATCAAATGAAATTTTTGAGAATTTGCAAAAGCCCAAACTTAGATTGTTTGTAAAAGTTTGTTATTTTTTTTAATGCAAAGTCATTACTGAAAAACATATAATGAAAAAGATAACTTGCAAGATCTGTGAAATCTAAAATTATCAAAACAAATGAAAAAAAAAAGTTTGTTGAACATAAAAGACTATTTTCATAGTCACAACTTTTTAAAACATTAATGGTACAAGAACTATTTAAACTTTAAAAATTTACGATAAAGTTTATTTAGATAAAATTTATTAAGAAAGGTCCTTCAATAATGTGTTAAAGTAAGAGCAATTAAATTCAAAGTTATGATCGGTTACATATTTGTGTTCAAAGTTTTTAATAATATGATATAGTATGCTACTCTATATTCTTTCTTTTGTATAATTTATATTTAATTTTCATTATCTATATTGTATTTGAATAAAAATTTCTGAAATCTCTACCCATTCTGGTTTTTTTAAGAAGACAAAAAAAAAAAAGATTTAATGATAAATGAGATTCAGCAAGTAATCAAGGGGAGTACTACTACATCAACTAAGAGTTTGATTGAGGGCGAAAACTGTTTTCCAAGAAAACCAAAAGGATAATAAATCAGTAATAAAAGTTAGGATAGTAAGTCAGAAATAAAAGTTGGCAAGTTTATATTTATACACCGTAAGATTAGGTGGCTTTGGCCCATTTTGCATCTTAATGTCTATTGCATGAAAGCCACAAAAGTTATTTCCTCAAACACTAAGTACTTTTAGAAACGCATAGAAAAGACAGTTAGAACTATCTGTCTCCCATTTGAAAATTATTTACCTGAAGTATCTTTGGGGTGGTTTAAATGGTGGGCTAAAGTTGCCCTATGTGTTAGGGTGACTTTGGCCCAACCCTGTAAAAAGGAACTACAGAAAGCAAAACAACAATAAAAACAACAATATTTAGGCAAAAAAAATAAGTTTACAAAAATAAAGTGACAAAAAAAGATTTAGTAACTAAGTTTTTGTATACAGTAAATAAAATATAGGTACAAACTAAACAAGTATAGGTACCAAGTAAACAAAACAGTTTAGGTATAAAGTAAACAAAAATGACAAAAATAATGTTTTTAAAAATTTAGTGAAAAAGTTCTGGAACTGAATAAATTCCTCTTTTCGAAATTTTCTTTGGTTCCTCAATAAAATCGACTATTTCAGACTGGGGAAAAACAAGTTGCTCTGCTGGTAGTGACTATTTCCAGTTAAGTCCATTTTTTTTCATAATAGTAATTTCTGCTCCATTTTATCTTAATTTTTTCAACTGCACAAAAAAAAAATTTAAAAGTTTTTTTTTTAATTTTTCAGTAGTTTTATTAAATAATATTAGTTATTAAATTAATTAGTTATAAAGTTTACTAAATGATTAGCTAAATATAAATAACTCAAAATAAATAAACGAACCTGTCCAGGATTTAACTCTCCATTGCAGTTAACAACATAACAATTCTCTAGAAGATTTAATAATTTCTCCTTTTTACAAACATGGAGAGTTAAACCCTGGACAGGTTTGTTTATTTATTTTGAGTTATTTATATTTAGCTAATCATTTAGTAAGCTTTATAACTAATTAATTTAATAACTAATATTATTTAATGAAACTACTGAAAAATTAAAAAAAAACTTTTAAATTTTGTTTTATCAATATTTTGAAAGTTCTTTTTGTCTAATGCTGAATGATCTAAAGATTCTGTATGACTTTCTACAACTAAACTTACATCTGCAAAAATTAGATTAGAAGTCTCAGTAGTTCCAGTATTTGTTCTTGGGCCAGCAAAGTCATTGTTGTTGGTCTCAATTGTATTTATAATACTGATAGGTGTATCTACATTATTTGAATTTAATCTATTATTTTCATTTATAACACAAGATGATATATCTGTTAAACATAAGCTTTTACCTGGGACAGCACATACTTTACGTCGCTTTAGTTTTTTAGTACCATCTGAGGGATCATCCAGTGACTTACATAAATGATCTAAAAATGATTGGCTCACTAAATCAGTAGTTGAGTCTAAACCTACATTACAACATGGTAGTCGTGAAAGCACTTGAGACTTGTCTAATGGAAAAATTCCAGTTTTGCGAAAACCAGCTCTAAGGTTATCATTCCCATGTTCACTTAAGTTGGTAATTAAACGGTCTAAAAGTCTAGGAAATTCATCTTTAGGAAGAGAAGCAACTCTTCTTCCTTTTCCTTTCTCCTTCCATTCACATAATTTTTTGTGCTAGTTAATATTCATAGGTCTAAAGTAGGCAACATCTAATGGCTGCGTGAGATGTGTAGAGTTTACTGGTAATGCCACAAATCCTATGTTATCGCTTTGACATGCATCCAGTACTGCAATGCTTAAATGTGAAGATACGTTATCACCTATAATGACACTTCTTCCTTGAGCCTTCTTAAGTCTTGGAAGAAGTAAAGAGAATAACCAATCCTCAAAACATGTCGAGTCAAACCAACCACTTTTTGATCTGTTATAACGTGCTTTTGGTGGCCCATATTCCATCCATGTATTCCATAACGACTCAACTTTGTAAACAACATAAGGTGGTAGCAATTCACCATTAGCATTGCCACAAAACATTAAAGATAATGAGGTCTTTGTAAAAATTTTTTTTTTTTACCTGGATCATCACTGAGATTGGCTTCCTCATAATTCCATATATAATCAGGTGATAAATTACTTATTTCATTTGATAGATTTATAAAGTAGTTATCAATCATAGTCGTTCCTATTTCTGCTCTCTTTCGCTTTATGTTGCTTGCAAATCTTACTGTGAGTTTTGGATTTCTTTTTTAAAAAGATTGAATCCAATCGCCACCTGGAAAATTATTTTTGAACTGAGGTATAATGACGCCTTTTTTCTCTAAATACCCTTTTACTATGCATCTTAAATCATAACTATCAACAGGAAAACCAAACTCAGATGATTTTATTGCATATGCCTTAAACATGTCTTCTTCTTTTGATGTAAATATTTGCTGACCATCATAATTTTTAGGATATGTATGTTTTATTTTACTTTTTAACGTTGATCTTGGTATATCGTATTTCAAAGCTGCTTATTTCAAAATTGCATTACTACTACAAAATTTTTCATTCCCACATAGTAACTACCATAGTATCTATAAATGATCACTAAAAAAGGTTTACTCTAATACATGGGGTGGCTTTAGCCCGGGCCAATGTCACCCTATGTAGTGGTCCTAAGACAACCTATTATTTTTAACCTCAATTACAAAAAAGTAATAAACTTTTAAGCTTTCAAAACAAGATAGAATCAAACACTAATGGTTTAAAATTAATTAAGTGTATATTCCAATAAAAAACCTTCTACAGGTACTGCTATTGATGTAAAAGTTTACACACCTAATAAAATTCGGATTTTAGGTGCTTCTTCTAAAGTGCAATTTACAATAATATCACAAAGACTCGAGTTAAGTAAACTAAGTTAAACTAAATAAATAATAAATTTCCCACAGTTTGCTACTAAACATCAACCGCCATATCTTAAGGTATCGATTTTAAACCATTTTTAAACAAAAATTTCTGTTGGGCAAAAGCCACCCAATTTTACGGTACACTATATTATATCTATATATACTCTCTATCTCTTTATATATATATATATATATATATATATATATATATATATATATATATATATATATATATATATATATATATATATATATATATATATATATATATATATATATATATATATATATATATATATATATA